AGAGGTTTCCTACTTCGGATGAAAGTCTGAGGGAGTTCCTGATTTTTTACCCTGAGTCATTCACTAGATATAGTTGCTACGATGCGGGAAAAGGCTACAGCTCACTCTGTTGTGCTCCTCGATCTGGCTATTCTCCTACTCAGCCTTCCTTCCATCTGTTCTCCCATAAAACACAGAGCTAGTGACACCCATTTGAACCCTGATTCCAGATGCTTTCATATCATGTGCACATTTGGTTTTCAAATGAACTCCCAAGATAACCAGAGGTTGTCTTGTCAACCTCTGTGATTCCCGGATGAAAATACAGGACTTGATGGAAAATATATTTTATGTATCTTTGGTTTGAGTATGGAGCCAGACAGTGACAATCTGTCAACCAAGATAAAACATAACCTTACTGAGATTTTCCTATATTGGAAAGTAATGCAATTCCCCAGAATTCTATGTACCACAGCTCTTGAAGTCTTTCTAGAATAGGAAGTGGGAGATTTCGTGTGCCTTGTTAAAACAGGTGTACAGCACAGGGAGGCTCTCAAAGGATGAGTGAGTAGTCGCCGGCATTGGTACTAAGTGACCGTGTGTCTGGATGTAGGGTACTGTGAGAAGTAGGGAAGCTACAGCAGACATAACCAGTAGCTGTAGAGTCCAAGCTTCTCAACAGGAGTGGAATGATAAACCCTTCATGGCAGTCTTTCTGGGAAATGCTGCGTCTCCTAGGCACATGGCTAAACGGGAGTCCACATTTAGTGAGAAGTAGGAACTCCACTAAGATGTCTGAGGACAAAGGGAGGGCGGGAGAGATTTTGGATAGCCAAAAGAGAGAGCCCTGAGCTGTGATTTCTTGCCCAGGTCTTAGGAAGCACACTTGTCCTTCTCCACAGGAATATCTGCTTGAGAGGCCTGAGAACTTGAGGCTTGATAGCCTCCTGCTGCTGGGGGGAGGAGGCTTCTTAGCGCACAGACAGCAGAGGCTGGGGCATTTGGAGGAGGGAGATTAGGAGAGCATTTGGAGGGGAAGTAGTGGAAATGTTTAGAGCACCCAGGAGAGTGGAGGAGGCAGCTTGCTAAAGATGAGGGAAGGATTGTAACAGGGCAAAATAGTGCAGTGTTGTTTGCATTTCCCCCCAGGGGCACACTTTGGCCTCTTTCCAAGGGACATGATTAAGTGGTTAAGTAAATAGCATCTGTCCTTAGATTGAACAGCTTAGGTTGCATTTCCTTCTAGAGTCTTCCTCCCTGAAAGTTGAAGAAAAGACCCTAATCCCCTTTGAAAGGGACCCATCCCAAGGTCCTCCAGATTTCTCAGGTTTGCTTTAATCTATTTGTGTAGGAGGGCCTGGCAGGCCAGGAACAGATCTCTGTTTGGGGTGGATGAGGGCAATGCTGTTATCATAGAGGAAATACACTTCCACCTATGTTTGAAGTTGCCAGTTTTTTATGATTCCCTTTCCCACCCTTCAAGACCCTACACATAGCTTAGCTTTTTGGATGTTGAAATCTTTGTCCCCTCCTACTGAGACTATTCATTGGCAATGGAGATAAAAGCTCAGGGTAGTCTTGGGACTTAGCCCATACCTACAGCTGGACCAAGATGCAGTCTGACCTAGCTCTTTTGGCCTCTTTTCTGCTGCTCCTGGCTCTTCCAGGACAGCCTCAGGTACTGGCAAAGGGTGAAGGTATCATGTAGGAGAGATACTTCTATGTTTGGGGCTGGCCGCTTTTTCCGTTCTTATTTTGTTCAAAAATTCCTAGGTCTGTGGCAAGAGTGAAGATAGAGAAAACTGGAGGAGAGATGATGATGGATGTGATGCCATTTTGTTGATTGGATAACCCTTGGATAGTATGGGCATATGATGAGAGGAAACAGAGACAGAGAGGAGGCGGGACAGAGACAGAGAGAGCAAACTGTATATCCTGCTGTTACAAGTTCTTGCTTTTTACCACCACAGTGCATACTTTTCCTGTAATAATGATGCTGGTGATAAGGATGGGATGGTCAGCCCAGGACTTTATAGATTAAGTTGCCTTATTAGGCTGACGGCATTGCTAGTGTAAGCTATAGGTATTAGAGCTCAAAAACATATAGGGGAGGGTAAAGCTTTTCATAGAAGTACAGGAACCATATATAAACCCCAGTTGGTACCATGAGCGTAGTCTAAAATTTAGAAGGAATTTACAATATACTGCTAGCTTATTCAACTTCAAAATGAAATGGAGAAAGAATTAATGAACTATAATACTACATCTAAGTGACTCTAAGTAGCAGGCACTTTCTCAAGTGCTCTCTCTACCTGTCTATCTTACCTATCTGTCTACCTGTCTGTTCATCTGTTTACTGACCTTGAAGTAAAACAATAGGGAAAATGCCACAATTTCTCTTACTACCAATGTGAAGGTACTGGGACACAGAGAGACTGCATATGCAATACAAGGGAAAATAGAAAACGTAGCTCTAGAATCAATGGATTGAACATGCTGTGAGCAAGCCATGTTATGCAAGGGTAAGAAGAATTCAACTTATATGTCTCTTAGCCTTGAAACTGCCACACCCTTACTCGGGTTTATTGAGACAAGGGAGCTTCTTGCCTTCACCTTTGGGCTTATGCAGACCCATTCCATCATAGCTTAGAGTTGTGTAGATGCCTTTGACATAAGAGCATAAGATTTGGAATAAATGCCAAACTTTGGAGAAGTTCCCAGCATTGTTTATTATTAGTTACATGATTTTATAAGATTCTTTTAATCTCAGACCCTTGTGTTTTACTATTGCAATTCCTCGATTCCCACTCACCTCATGCTATCTTCATGTATGTTGGCTCTGGATCCAGATGTGGATTCCTCCTGCTGCTTCTCTTGATGATTATGAACTCTCTCTACATGCATCCTTCAGGAGAGGCTGAGGTTGTACAGATCCCAAGACTGGGGTTACTGTTAACAACTGAAGCTGTTTAAGCTTGCTTCAGTGTTATTCTGAAAGCCAGATAGAGAAAACTTGTGGAGCATAGCTATCTGCACTTATAGTACTGAAATTTCATTTGTATTTTAATAAATAAAGCTTACCTGAAGGCCAGAGAGTAAATCAGCCGCACTGGTCAGCCTTACAGCCCAGGCAGGTTTTGAACTCATTGAGATCCTGAGCGCTGGGATTAAAGGCCCTTGCCACCACTGCCTGTCAGGAGTTCAAGGCCAGTCTGGTCTGTAAGGCTGACCAGTGCACATGTTTTACTCTCTGATTTCAAGGCAAGCTTTATTTATTAAAATGCAAATGCAATATCACTACGTGCACTCAGTACATGATCCAGGGTGAGAGTGAGTGGTCAACAAATTAAGGTTAGGAGAAGCCTGAAGCTTCATTGCTGGCAAATTAAAGTAACTCAAACTCCCAACGAAGGAATTCCTCAGCAGCCAGTAAGATTCAAAGTGTTCCCCACCACCCCAGAGCAGGGCTGGCCTCTCCTCCTGCCTCGCTTTTGCAAATAGCCTATAGTGATCCAGTGTGCTTTGTTGCCCTCAGTGTGGCTTTGACCCCGATTTTGCAGTTGCTGGAACGTGCATTAAATTCCACGGATTTCCAGGGTGTGGTTCATCTGCCCGAGAACTCGATATTCCTGCAGCAGCTGGAACAGCTACAGAATACACTACAGGATCTCATTGGCAAGTACGAACAACAGCTGTCCAGGGTGAGTGCGTGTTGGAATTGGGGCCCTTGCAAGACCATCCTTTACCGGCTTCAGTTTAGCAACGACTCCATGGCAATGATTCCCTGTCTTTGAGATCAAACCTAAGGGAGAAAGGGAAATTTGCTACTATTCTTAAGGTTTCCCATAGTAAAGCATGGCTTATGATGTTTTTAGGAGCTTCTTACACTGATAGATAAAAGAGTGGTTTTAGATCCATTGAAAAAAAAGACGTGGGAAGCACAGACATACATACAGTCTAATCAAAGGGTTGAATGCTGAATGATCAATGTGGAGGAGCAGAAAACAGATTTGCGATGACGAACTGAAATAGAGGTGCCACGTGGAAGGGTTGGTTGGGAAAGCTTGGCACTGAGCTTATAAGAAGGGCAAGAGAGTAGAAATACTATATCTGTATTCAGTGTTGCTAATGGTCTAGTAAATGTTACTTGCTGAACTCCCGGGGAAGCTTCATGATATATGACCAGACTGGAAACTGGTATTGTTTATCTTTTGTGCTAGTCTTAAGGAGAGGGTGGCCCTAAAGGTTCTATGAATAGTATGGGCAGTATTTTTCCCTTCAGAAAATCAGGGACCTGAATGTCCTCAGGTAAGAAGTGGGGGGTATTACTACTGTTAAATAAAGTGATAGACATAAAGAGGGTGTAAATGGATGAGAAGAGTCAGGCTCCGTGGCATTGGGGGAACAATATACCTGTCCTTTCATGTCCAGGCCAAAGAGTATGCACCTACCCCTGAAGACCAAGACAGTCAGACTTTGGAACCGAGTCACACGCTGGAGTCCAGGAATCCTGGTGTCACTGGGTCCCAATATGACAACCCAGTCTTCAACCTGCTACGCCTAGAACTGGAAGGTGCACAGGAGTTGGCAGCCCAGCTTCAGGCCAGAGCCAGTGTCAGCGGGGCCCCAGAGCTCCTCCACCAACTCCGGAACCAGGTGTGTGGATGGGTTAAAGTGCTCCTCTTCTCCCCTTCCTCTCACAGCCTCCCTCCTTACCTGGTTAGCGATGACAGACACTTCCCCAAACCTCTTCTTTCTGGGGAAGACGCCTGACCTAGAAAATGGAGAGTGTGAGTTGAGATTGAGGACACCCTGTGACCCACATTGCTGGGATCTCATTCCCTCAGGTCACCAATGCCAGTCTGAGTCTGAAGCTTCTGGCTGATGCTGACTTTCAAAGCTTTCGTGCTCTCCAAGAGGAGGTGGACGTCCTTGAGGGTCGACTAAGTGAGTGTGAGAGGGAGAAGGAACAGGAACAGCCTTCCAGATACCCTGGTCCACCCCTGGCTCCAGGTGAGTTCACAGACTGAATTTCCCAAGATTTTGTTTCTCCATTGACTGGGCCAAATGCATGATTGCTATAGTAGCCTGAGGGACGAATGGGAAACCAGTAAAGATCTTGATAAGGAATAAGTCTTCAGTTTCCTGATTATACCAAGACTGGTATCTTCTCATGGACATATCCATATATGCAACCATTTATCCATCTAATAGCCAGGCACATGCATTCATCTCTATCTATGCAAAATCAGTCTATTTATATGATTATGCATGCAGTCTCATGAGCATGTTCTCAAGCACCCAGGTACTGATAGTCTCCATCCTCTGCATTCTGTGGGTGGATTCTATGCTTTGTAGCTCGCTCATATCTCGCTTGCTCTTCTCTGTAGGTTCCTGTGCTCATGGAGGCCTACAGAAAGTGAGCAGACCCATTGTGCTGAAGCTCAACTGGAGGGGTTTATCTTACAAAGTAGGTGCCTGGGGCCGTGACTCAGCACCCAACCCAGTTTCTGCCCTTTACTGGGTGTCTCCCCTGCGTGCTGATGGCAGGTGAGTCCTGGATGACAGATTTTATGTGCCTGTGACTATCCCATATGTACTTTAGCCTGGCCTGACAGGCTTCTTAGTAGCCTAGCACTGATTCTTTTTTGAAAAAATTTTGTTCATTTTACATAACAGCCACAGTTCTTCCCCTTCCCCAACACATCCCATCCACTACTCAGAGAGCCCATGGAGAGTCAACAAAGCCCGGCATATTAATTTGAGGCAGGACTACTGCATCAGGCCTGACCAATATAACCCACCATAGGGAATGGGCGGCAAAAGCCAGTTAATGCATTAGGGATAAATTCTGATCTTACTACCAGGGGACACATAAACAGACCAAGCCACACAACTGTCACCCACATTCAGAGGGCCTAGTTGGTCCCATGCAGGTTCCCACCTGTCAGTTCATAGTCCATGAGCTCCCACTAGCTCGGCTCAGCTGTCTCTGTGGTTTTTCCCACCATGATCTTGACCCTTCGCTGATATTATCCGTCCTTCTTCTCTTTGACTGGACTCCAGGAGCTAGGCCTAGGGCTTAGCCGTGGATCTCTGCAATCTTTTTATCAGTTTCTAGATGAAGGTTCAATGATGATACTTAGGGTAGTTATCAATCTGATTATAGGGGAAGACCAGTTTAGGCAGCTGTACTTGTGAAAGAAGTCTTTCTTTTAATTATTCATTTTTAATTGATTTTTTTGAGGTTTACATTTTTTTCTATTCCCTTCCTTGCCTCTCCCCCCCCTTCAGTCATCCTCCAAGGTGCCCAAGCTCCTCAAATTGTTCAGGAGATCTTGTCTTTTTCTACTTCCCATGTAGATTAGATCCATGTATGTCTCTCTCAGGGTCCTCATTGTTATCTAGATTTTCTGGGATCATGATTTGTAGGCTGGCTTTCTTTGTTTTATGTTTAAAAACCACCTATGACTGAGTACATATGATAATTGTCTTTCTGGGTCTGGGTTACCTCACTCAAAATGGTTTTTTCTAGATGCATCCATTTACCTGCAAAATTCAAGAGGTTGTTATTTTATTCTGCTGTGTAATACTCCATTGTGTAAATGTACCACATTTTCCTTATCCATTCTTTGGTCCAGGGGCATTGAGGTTGTTTCCAGGTTCTGGCTATGACAAACAATGCTCCTATGAACATAGTTGAGCATATGTCCTTGTTGTATGATTGAGCAGACGGTGGATATATACCCAAAAGTGATATTGCTGGGTGTTGAAGAAGGTTGTTTCTTAATTTTCTGAGAAATCACCACACTGATATCCAAAGGGGCTGTACCAGATTGCAGTCCCACCAGCAATGCAAGAGTGTTCCCTTTACCCCACAACCTTTCCAGCATAAGTTGTCATCAGTGTTTTTGATTTTGGTCATTCTTACAGGTGTAAGATGGAATCTCAGAATTGTTTTGATTTGCATTTTTCTGATGGTTAAGGATGCTGAGCATTTGCTTAAGTGTCTTTTAGATTCTTCTGTTGAGGGTTCTGTTTAGGTCTATACTCCAGTGTTTATTGGATTGTTTGTTTTGATGGCCAATTTCTTTGCAAGGAGTCTTAACTGGGGTCATCTTTGTGGACTTCTGGGAATTTCCCTAGCAATAATTTTCTCCCTAACCCCTTAATGGCTCCCTCTATCAAGAGTTCTCTTTCATTGTTCTCCTTCTCTGTCTCTCCCAACTGGACTATCCTGTTCCCTTTTGTTCTCAATCCCCACCCCCTCCACTTCCCTCCAGGTTACGCAGCAGATCTTACCTATTTCCACTTACTAAGAAATGAGTAATACTCCATTGTGTAAATGCATTGCATTTTCTTTATCAGTTTTTCAGCTGAGGGGCATCTAGGTTGTTTCCAGGTTCTGGCTATTATGAATAATGCTGCTATGAGCATATTGGAGAAAGTGTTATTGGGATATGATTGAGCATCCTTTAGGTATATGCTCAAGAGTGGTATTGCTGTGTCTTGAGTTAGATTGATTCACAATTTTCTGAAAAACTACCACACTGATTTCCTAAGTGACTGAACGAGTTTGAACTCCCACCTGCAGTGAAGGAGTGTTCCCCTTACTCCACATCCTCTCCAACTTAAGCTGCCATCAGTGTTTTTTTATCTAAGTCATTCGGACAGGTGTAACATGGTATGTCAGAGTCATTTTGATGAGCATTACCCTAATGATTAAGGATGTTGAGCAATTCCTTCAACTTCTTTTGGCCACTTGAGCTTCTTCCATTGATAATTCTCTGTTTAGTTCTGTGCCCCATTTTTAAGTTGGGTTATTTGGTATTTTGATGTCTAGTTTCTCTAGTTTCGTGAGTTCTTAATATATTTAGAGTTCAGTCCACTGTCAGATACGGGTTTGGTGAAAATCCTTTTCCCATTCTGTATGCTGCCATTTTATTTACCATATCCTTTGCCTTACAGAAGCTTCTGAGTTTCAGGATGTCCCATTTATTAATTAATTCTTGTTCTCAGTGTCTGTGCTACTGATGTTACATTAAGGAAGTGGTCTCCTGTACCAATGCATTCAAGGCTATTTCCCACTTTCTCTTGTATGAGGTTTAGTGTAACTACATTATTGAGGTCTTTTATCTACTTAAACTTAAGCTTTCTACATGATGATAGATATTAATCTATTTGCATTCTTCTGCATGCTAACATTTAGTTAAGCCAGCACCATTTGTTGAAGCTTTTTCCCCCCATTGTACAACTTTGGCTTCTTTGTCAAAAATCAGGTGTTCATAGGTGTGTGGATTAATGTCAGGGTTCTCAATTTTATTCCATTGATCCACATGTTTCTTTTTATGCCAATATCAAGCTGTTTGTATTATTAGAGTTCAAGGTCTGTGAAGAATTGTGTTAGGATTTTGATGGGGATTGCATTGAATCTGTAGATTGTTTTTGGCAAGATGGACATTTTTACTATATTAATCCAACCTATTCAAGAGTGTGGGAGATAGTTTTATTTTCTGATATTGTCTTCAATTTCTTTCTTCAAAGACTTCAAGTTCTTATCATCTTATCTTTACCTTGTTTGGTAAGAGTTACCTCAAGATATTCTTTTTTACTTCTTACTATTGTAAAGGGTGATATTTCTCTGATTTTTTTCAGCCCATTTATCATTTGTTTATAGGAGGGCTACAGATTTTTTTTAATTAATCTTGTATCCCGCCACATTAATGAAGTTACTTATCAACTTAAGGTGTTTGGTGGTGGAATTTTTGAGATAATTATGTGTATGCAAATCGCAAAAATTCAATTTCTTCATTTCTAATTTGTATGCCATTGATCTTCTTTTGTTGCTTATTGCATTCGCTAGAACTCTGAGTGTTATATTAAATAGATATGGAGAGTGGACAGATTTGTCTTTTTTTATTTCATTGGAATTGTTTCTCAATTTCTCTTCATTTAGTTTGATGCTGATTGTCGGCTTGTTGTAAATTATCTTTATTATGTTTATGTATGTTCCTTGTATCCCTGACCTCTCCAAGACCTTTATCATGATGGGTTGTTGGATTTTTTGGAAAGTTTTTTCAGTGTCAAATGATATGGTCATGTGGGGCTTTTTTCTTTCTTTCTTTCTTTCTTCCTTTTTTTCTTTCTTTATTTCTTTCAGATTTTTTTATTTGGTAGAATACATTGACAAATTTTCGTATGTTGAGCCATCCCTGCATTTCTGTAGTGAAGCCTACATGACCATGGCAAATGTTTGGTTTTCTTGTTGTTGCTGTTTGTCTTATGTTTTTTGTTTTGTTTTGTTTTTGTTTTGTTTTTTGTGCTTTGTTTTGTTTTTCTTGATGTGTTCTTGGATTTGGTTTGCCAGTATTCTATTGAGCATTTTTGCATTTTTGGTCTGTAATTCTCTTTCTTTGTTGAATCTTTGTGTGGTTTGGGTATTAGAGTAACTGTAGCCTCATAAAATTTGCGAATGTTCCTTCCATTTGTGTTGTGTGGAACAATTTTAGAAATATTGATATTAGCTCTTCTTTAAAATTATGTCAGAATTCTGGGCTTTTTTTTGGTTGGGAGAGTTTAAATGACTGCTTCTATTTCCTTAGGGATTATAGGTTCATTTAAATTGTTTATCTGGTCTTGGCTTAATTTTGGTATGTGGTACCTATCCGTAAAATTGTCCATTTTTTAAAGAATTTCCAGTTTTATGGATTTCAGGTTTTGAAGTATGATCTGACAATTCTTTGGATTTCCTTTGTGTCTATTATTATGTCCCCCTTCTCATTTCTAATTTTGTTGATTTGTATGTTCTCTCTCTGCCTTTTGATTAGTTTGGATAAGGGTTTGTCTATCTTGTTGATTTTCTCAAAGAACCAGCTCCCTGATTCTTTGTATTGTTTTCTTTATTTCTATTTTGTTGATTTCAGCCCTCGTTGATTATTTCCTGTCTTCTATTTGTCCTGAGTGAGTTTGCTTGTTTTTCTTCTAGAGCTTTTTAGCTGTGGTGTTAAGTCACTAGTACAAGATCTTTTCAAATTCTTCATGAAGGCGCTTAGTACAATGAATTTTTCTTTGCACTGCTTTCATAGTGTCCCATATGTTTGGGTATGTTGTGTGTTCAGTTTCATTGAATTCTAGGAAGCCTTTAACTTCTTTCTTCCTTGACTCAGTTGTGGTTCAGTTGAGTGTTGTTCAATTTCTATGAGTCTGTAGGCTTTCTGCACTTGGTGCTGTTGTTATATTCTAATAAGTCCTGGTAATCCAATAACATACAGGGGGTTATTCCAATTTTTTTGTATCTATTAATATTTGCTTTGTGACTATGTAAGTGGTCAGTTTTAGAGAAGGTCTCATGAGATGCTGAGAAGGCACTTTCTCTTTTGTTCATGTGTAATGTTCTAAAGATATCTATTAAGTCCATTTGAGTTATAACATCTATTAGTTCCCTTATTTCTCTGCCAAGTATCTGTCTGGCAGAACTGTCCATTGGTAGCAGACACTGTAGCTGTTGCTTTTGAAAATGGTTATTTATTTCAACATAGTATACAGTAAGTAAAAGACGGAAAAAATACCATTTTACAGCAAAGTCCCTACTCTAAATTGGCATGTGAGGCTTCCCAGTTTTGTTTTTTTGGTTGTGTGTGTGTGTGTGTGTGTGTGTGTGTATGTGTGTGTGTGTGTGTGTGTGTGTGTGTGTGAGAGAGAGAGAGAGAGAGAGAGAGAGAGAGAGAGAGAGAATTTCAAATCGAAGAACAATGTATTTTTATTATGCTCATTCTTCTTCCCTGACTCACCTCTAATTCTTCCTGTGTGCCCCCATATGGCCTCTTAAATTTTATGTCCTCTTCTTCTGTAATTTCTCTCTCTCTCTCTTTCTCTCTCCCTCTTCCCCTCTCCCTCTTTCTCTCTCTCTTGTAATTACACATACACAAACACACACACAGTCAAATGCCCACGCACACTCATACACATACACACATTCAGACACACTCACATACTATCAAACACACACTCACACAGTCGAAGTCCAGGTACGTGTGTGTAGGACTGACCATTGGGGCATGGGCAATCTGTTAGGAGGAACACAGATGCTCCTTCCCTCCACACAGCTGTGAAGTGCTTGTAACTCTCCACCTAGGACTAAGGCCTCCTAATCCTTTCCCACATCTATACTGAGATATTTATTGATCTAGTGCAGGCCGTATGTAGGTGGTCATGTTATTGTGGGCTCATGGGTGAAACATTCCTATCATTTCTAGGAGACACAGCACTGCTCCGGGTCCTTTGGCTGTTACATTTAATCTTTTCACCCCCACTTCTGCTGCATTCCCTGGGCTTGATTATAGGGGTTGTGTTATAGATGCCCCACTATCATTTTCATAGTTCTTTAGTACTCTGATTGCTGCTGTCACTTAATGGTTCTACTGTGTGTGGGGTTCTTGGCCCAGGTACTTCGATTACTATAGGCTGTACAAATCCTATGGTGACCTGGTGGTTCTGAAGCACTATGAGCAGTGGAAGATGGGCTATGGTGATGGCAGCGGCAATACCGTGTACAAGAACTTCATGTACTTTAACTACTATGGCACAAGTGACATGGCCAAGGTGGACCTTTCTTCCAACACCCTGGTGCTGCGACGTCCATTGCCTGGTGCCACCTACAACAACCGCTTCTCCTATGCTGCTGTGCCTTGGACTACCTTAGATTTTGCTGGTGACGAGAAGGGGCTCTGGGTGCTCTATGCCACAGAAGAGAGCAAGGGTAACCTGGTAATAAGTCGTCTCAATGACAGCACCTTAGAAGTTGAGCAGACCTGGTACACTAGCCAGTATAAGCCTTCTCTTTCAGGGGCCTTCATGGCCTGTGGGGTGCTCTATGCTTTACGCTCGCTAAGCACACATCAAGAGGAGATCTTTTATGCTTATGACACAGCCACCAGTCAGGAACACCGACTCAGCATCCTGTTGGACAAGATGTTGGAAACACTGCAAGGCATCAATTACTGTCCTTGGGACCACAAGCTCTATGTGTACAATGATGGGTTCTTAATAAATTATGATCTCACCTTCCTGACAGTAAAGGAACAGCTGCCAAGCTCTCTCATTAAAAGGCCTTCTGGGGCTTCAGCTCCATTCAAACCTATCAGGTCCAACAAACCCTCCAGGCCAGGAGACTCTGTGACTGATCAGAGTACTCATAAAAATACTTTGTCTTCCTTACCTCTAGAAGGACATCTCTCTTAATAATCACCTACTTAAATGATTGAAGTACAGTGATTATATTTAGTTCTGTATGTAATCAATATCTCAATCAACACATTAGGGTGCTAAGAATGGCCTGCAAGGATTCGATTAAGATAAAAATTACAATCTTAACTAGAGAAGGTTTGGAAGGGTAACTGAGCACTGTATTATGTGTTTAGCATGCATCAGGCCCTACATTCAATGAGGGCACAGTGAGGGTGGGAATAAAACTCATCATTCAATCCTTAGCATTAAAAAATAACCAAAAAATTAGCTAGAGAAATGTTGCCTTTTTCTGATATTTGGGCATCATATTTCATTCTTAGGGTAAAGCTGAGTCCATCTGATTCCAGTAATCTATGGGTGCTGGTATCGAGAGTGGGGTAAAGAAGTTCCCTTCATACTTCCATACCACCAAAGGGTTCTGCAGAGAAGGGAGGCAGAATCTTGGCCTGAAGATAAGTTCTTCACTACCCTCAACCACGCATGACCCAGTTCTAGGAAGTCAGTTTTGAACTAGGCAGGATAAGTAGCATGGGATGTGGTTGGGACTGTGGATCGAGACATTCTCAATAAAAACTTCTTGGTATAATTGCAGGAAGTCTCCTAGCATGTGTTTTTCCTTTCCTTCCCCTCTTCAGTGCACTGAGGTGTGGGTTTCAATTCTCCCTGTGTTCCTCATCCATCCACACAGTGATCTTCTCTCTAGGCAGCTGTATGAACACAGATTCCCAAGCTGTCCTGGCCATAGATGATGCATGCACTGTATTTGAGTGTATATTCAAGAACATGAATTTTGGTACATTTGTGCCTTCAATGTGTAGATGTAATAATTCTATACTTAAATATTTATGTAGATATCTTAACATAGCCACTAATAATTGGTGAGCTTCCTAAGAAAAACAATCAAATGCTAGCTCCAAGAAGCTGGGGTACTGAGAATCTTGTCAGAACCTGTTCCCTGTAGGAAATGCAATGTTCACCATTTTCACTGCTACCAATTGGTCTAGAGATACCTGCCGTCTTAGGTGTTTTCACTTAAGACTGAGTAAAGATCTTGAAATCAATCAGTCAGAAAGTCTGTTATGATGGCATATGGACCAAGCCACTTGTAAATTATGTGAATAAAAAGTGTGCTGTATAGAGCAGCCGTTCACCTCTATTTTGGGTTTTCTTAAAAAAAAAAAAGCCTCCTTGGCCAGTCTGACCCTTAATTCCTAAAGAAAAAAATTTATTACCTACTACATGGGCACATTCTCACTTAAGTCTAGAATCCCACAGTCTGGGCCTCAGAGGAAAATGTGGCTTCCTTTTCACATGAGATCTTGACTTCTGTTTCATTTTCTTTCCTCCCTCCCTCCCTCCCTCCCTCTCTCCCTCCCTCCCTCTTTCCTTGTCTCTTTCTTTTGTTTGTTTTTTTAAACATATTTTTTTTTAAATTTCACATCATACTTCCCAATCTTGCTCATGATACAGTGCCTCCAGATCTCCCCTTCACCCCTGCAGCATGTCTCCCTAAAAGAACCACCCCCCAAATTTATTGGAAACAAAACAAATAAACAACCCACCTTGCTCTTCCATCTGTTCATCACCTCTTCATTCATCCTAGTGATATCAGGACCTGTGTGTGTCACACAGTATACCCTTTGGTCCAATCAGCCCCACTCTCAAAACATTCATTGCGATGAGTCATTGGTCTGGTTCAAGGCCTCCGGCACACCATCACCGTCAGCACTGAAAATCTTCTCTGACATTCTATTGTTGCCCTGAGTCATGGAGATCTGGCATTAATTGCTCCATAGGATCAGTATCTTCAAGTACTCCAGCAGGACATAGAAGGGATAGTTGTTAGGGTGGGCCAACCCAAGGCCCAGGATGTGTGTCTGGGTGGGAACTGAGCTGGTCAGTCCAGGCCATTTGTTGCCACTCTTGTCAGGAGAGGGGTGGTGCCTGCTCTATTTGACACATGCCATGGGGGCCAGCCCTCCCACACCATGGTGAGAGGCGTGGCCTGGCCAGCTCTCTCTTGAAAACAGTAGGGGGTTATCTCTCCCATGGAGGATGTCAGGACAAGTTTTCCTGCTGCAGTGTCCAGCAAGGGACAGGACCAGCTATCCCAAGGTCAGTGATGGGCAGGGTTGGCCTAGCACAGCCCTTTGATTTCAATACTCAAGGATCCTACAACACCCTGTGGTGACACAGGCCATGGGCATCATCACAGACCCCAGCTGTAGCAGGAACATGGACCCAGACATGGCCCTCAGTAACAGTATTGGCCTGAATGACACCATGGTCCCAGGAAACAAGTGCAGGATACTCAGAATGGCATGGTACTGGTGGCAGCAAAACTCTTGGATACCAATACTGCCACAGGATGCAGCCTAGACCCCTAGCATCTGTGTGGCCTTTAGTGGTACCTCGAGCCACAGACATCAATGCAGATCTCGCTAAGATAGGACTATGGCCCCATTCTTGGTCCTCATCAACAACCTGGACCTTGTGGCAGTGTAGGCCACTCATCTCTGTATGACCCTAGCTGCAGCAGGCTCCTCAGATCCCCATCTGACCTCAGGAGATGGCCCAGACCCTGAGTATTTTCGTGGCCTTTGGTGGTATCAGGAGCCATGGCTATCAACCCAGGCCCTGGCTGTGGTAGTGTCTCAGACCCAGACATGGTCCTACATTGGTTTACATATCACCATGGCCCCTGGATGGCACAGCCTTTCAGATTGGTCTGGTCCTGGCGTCAGCATGGCCCTTGTATTCTATCATGGACTCAGGTGTCTGACCAGACCTCGACCATCCACATGTCCTTCAATGGTCACCAAAACCATGGACATCAACACAGATGCTGGCTGCTGCAGGGACATGAACCCAGACATGACCCTGGCAGTAGATCAGGTCTGGATGTCATTGTGTTCTCTGGTGGCAGCATGACCACTCAGGTCAACATGGCCCAAGGGCAACATGGATTTTGGACACCAAAATGTCCAGAAGTGGTGGCCCAGACCCTGGTCATCCCTGTGGCCTTGGTGGCAACATGGGTCATAGACATCAACATAGACATCAGCTACATTAGGATTAAGGACCCAGACATAGCCCTAGGCTGTAAACCAAACCCAGACATCACCCTGGTCCTGGGTAGCAAGTAGTCCAACATCAGCCATTCCCTGCTGCCCTGGCTCCTTCAGAACTGCCTCTTATCACAGCATGCTAACCATTCTGCCCCTCTCCCATTTCTCCACCCCACGCTGGCTCATCATAATGGCACTCACCCACCTGGGGTCATGCTACATCCACGGCTGTCTCGCCAGTGTAGCAGAAATGCTGACTGGATGGGCAAATATTGCCGGCAGGATTGGGATTGGTGCTTCAAGGAGCTGTGTGTTCCAGGCGGTCCCTTGGCAACCAGTTGTGGTGTAATGCTACCTGAGTCGCCATTAGTACTGACTCGACCTGGCTGTCCTTGGAGCCATATGTGTGTCTTTTCCCTTGTCTGTGTGTTCTTTGTGATCCTTACATATTTGCTAACAGATCAGACTATTCCAGGCAGTTGTGGATATAAACAAGACTGCTGAGGACATTTTTGGATTCTGCTCCACTATTAATTAAAGCCTTAAAAAAGTAGCCAGTTCTGGGAATTGCCAAAATCATCATTAGGACGATTCCTTGATGATGTAGAATAAAAGGAGTTAATCTTAGCAGAAAAAACCTTAGACGCCTTCTACAGGGAAACAGCATTAGGCATTTATGTACAACTTAACAGGAGGCCTATGCAACCTTCCTTATGGCCAGAAAACCTAGGCTAATTATAGCATCTGACCCTGAGAGTTGGGAAGGGAAAGGAGTTGAGATTAATGGTACAAAATGAGTCTCAGAAAGTTTTCCAGGAAGATAGTAGCCTTCTTCTTTCTCACCCAGACACACAAGGTCACTTAGCTGATCCCAAGTCAGCCACCTGGTACAAGCTGATAAAGTTGGGCTAACTCAAGAACAATGGTCTCTCTAATAACAAGAAAAAAGAAGGGGTAACTTTACAAATGTAAGAAAGCAAAAGTCCTTGTACTCATGCCAAAGCATCTTTAAAGATTCTCTTTGAAAAACTGTTTATGCCGTTCTTTTCTATTTTATGATCTGATGATGTATGCCTTTGCCAAGTCCTTTGTTTTGTAATAATATATAATCCTGCACTGAAGTAAGTAAATCGCACCAGCATGTCTCAAAAACATTGAGAGTGTCTGTGTGTCACTTTTCCTCTCCGTATCCTGATTTCTCCTGTGCCTTCGCCCTGATTCCCTTACGGTCTGAGTGGCTCCCTTGAGCTGGTCCGTAGCAGGGTCACAAGGCAGTGAGCAGGCTGTGAATATCTTCAGTTAGGCCAGACTGCAAGGACCCAGGTTGCTGCCAAGGTCTATGTGTCGGTCCATGGTCAACCCACGACTGGGGTCTGTATTGATGGCTATGGCCCACAGTGCCACTCAGGGCCACAATGACATCAAGGGCCTGGGCCACCACATAGGGCCCTGTTAGTGTCTGAGGGCTGAGCGTCTGCCAGGGCCATGTGGAGTTGAGTCGTTTGTAAGGCCACCCAGGGCCACGGTCTCTTCTGGGCCTGTGTTGCTCTCATGCTCTGTGTTGACAGCCATGGCTCCTGTTAGCACTGAGAGCAGTGAGGAAAGGGCTGCACAAAGTTAATTCTGCTGCTTACCAACTGTAGCACTCAAGAGAGTGGGCCTCGCATCTCTGCAGGGAAATACAGAAGAGATTTCCATACTGGCATGGTTACAGGTGAGCTGGTTGAGAGTTGGAGAGCTAGCCTCATGGTCTGTGGCGTGGGTAAGGGAGATATACTCCACTTACCCCTTGTTCCTCATCCCTCACCACCTAAGCAAGCAAGAAAAGCTGGTCCTGGGTCACAAGAGCGGGATAGCTGGCCCTGCCCCTCACTGCCTGCAGCACTCAGCAGAGTGGGCCCTGCACCTTGCCAGGGTAGCGCACTAGAGTTGACCCAGTTGACTGGAGGTGCCAGTGATCTGGTGCTGCAAAGGCTTGTGGGAGATCTGGCACCACCCTTCACCTATCACAAGATGAAGTGGGAGAGAGAGCTGAGTACCCTCCTCCCCTCTTGCCACCTGTGGTGGGTGAGAGACCTGGCCTTGATGTCACGAGAGTGGGAGGGAGGGCTGGTCCTGCCCCTCACCAGCTGCAGCACACAGGAGAGCAGGCATGGCACCTTAACTGGGCAACACACTTCAGCTGACTCTGTTGGCGAGAGGGGCATAGATGAGCTAGGCCTGTGGGTGTGAGAGCAGGTGACCTGCCCCTGCCTTCTCCCTTGTATACCAGGGATGGCAAGGGTAAAGGAAATATGCTCTCCCCACCTCTTGCCACCTGTGTCAGGTGGGAGACCTGGCCTCGGGGCCGGGAGAAGGGAGGAATTGGCTCTGTCCCTTACCAAGTATGGCAATCTGGAGAGCAAGCCTTGCATCTTGCCTGAGCAAAACAGTAGAGCTCACCCTGGTGATATGAGTATGCGTGAGACGGACCTGAGGGTGTGAGGAGGGAAACTGATCCTGCTTCTTGCTGTCTGTTACATTTGGCGAAGAGCTTGCCAGTGTAATGGATCAATTAGAAAATGCGGCAGGATCCCTGGTGGCTGCAGTGGCAGAAATGCTGCAGTTCCCGCGCGGTGACATTTATTTAGTGGATTATGGAGGGGAAGGGGAGAAGAGCAGAATTGCAGAGAGAGAGAGAGAGAGAGAGAGAGAGAGAGAGAGAGAGAAGGGAGAGGTGAAAGTGGAAACTGCCTCTTTGAGAGGGAGATGGAAAAGGAAGAGACTCGGGCTGCAAGCAGGAAGGAAGATCTGCCTGCCTCAGCTGACTGGGGTGGGAGGTGGGAGTGGGGAGGGGGGCAGAGGGTGGGTATGGGGGGGATATGGGTGGTGGGCATGGTTTGTCTCTTAAAGCGACAGGACAGATCATTACAGCCAGGATGGTGACAATGAAGGATTGTTGTCAGCTGCTCAACCCAGCTAACACCCAGGACCAGAACCAGTACTATGAGTTAGCCACTCCTTCCGTGAACTGCTGGAATGTGTGAAGGAGCTGGACCTGCAGATCCAAAGCTATGGAATCTCCATGACACAAGGAAACAACAGGATATTGAAGAGGGGTCCCACTGAAGGACCCAGTGTTGATGGTGTAGCAGAAGCTAGAGGCCTTGAACCAGACCAATGACTCATTGGAATGAACGCTGGCAAATAACGATGTATGGGCTCAGTGGTGGTGGTGCAAGCCTTTAATCCCAGTACTCAGGAGGCAGGCGAATCTCCATGAAGTCAATGCCAGCCTGGTCTACAGAGCTAGTTCCAGGACAGTCAGAGCTATTACACATGGCTGTTTTTGTCTCAAAAACCAGAAAAAAAAAAAAACCACTTACTCCTGACAAAAAATCTAAACAAATAAAGATGTATGGACTGAAGGGTATATGGTGTGACTCAGTGGGCCACATTACAGCTTTCATGATGAGGTCACCATGCTGAGGTTTAAAAAAATTTCTTTTGGTTTTTACTATTAAATTTAGTTTGGGGGCAAGGTTGCAAGGGCAGAAGACAGAAGTAAGGGGTCAGGGAGATGAGTGGGATCAGGATGCATGATGAGAAATCTACAAAGAATCAATAAAAAGTAAAAAAAAATTATTTAATTAATTTAATTTTTGAGACAAGGTCTAACTATGTGGCCCTGGCTGGACTTGAGCTCACTCTGGTCTACAAGCTCACCAAAGAGATCTAGCTGGTTCTGCTTTCAGAGAGCTGGGATTAAGGGTGTGTTTCATCGATCCTCATCTCCATTTTCCTTTTTAACATTCACTGTGTCCAGATCATGAGCAAACCGAAGAAGCCCTTTCTGTGATACAGTGAAAATGGCGACTGCTTCTTTGTTCTTGGCTGCCCAGACCTGAAAAATCACACAGAAACTATATTAATTACAACACTGTTTTTGGCCTACTAGCTCAGGCTTCTTATTAGTTAAGTCTTACATGTTAAATTAACCCATTTCTATTAATCTGTGTATCACCACAAGGATGTGGCCTACAGGTAAGGATCTGCGACATCTGTCTCCTTCAGTAGTTACAGGGCATCTCTCTGACTCCACCTACTGTCTCAATCTCTTTTCAGATTTCTTGCCTGGCTTTACTCTGCTAAGCCATTGGCCAAAACAGCTTCTTTATAGCTAATGGTAATAAAATCATATTCATAGCATACAGAGGGAAATCCCACATCATTGCAGACTCCATTCTTGCTCTCTGGAATGAGTTTAGTTTTTTAAGTGTTTCAGCAGATCCAATACTTTATACTTTAACTCTATCATTCCAAAGAGGGACCTACACACAGATCTATAAAAAACACATATTCTATATCTGTTTAATTGCTACTACTGCTACTATTATTTAGTAAGAAATTTTATCTCCATTCTTGAAAAACTGCACTAATTAATTTTATTAAGGTGAGCAACATCCTCACTTTCTCAAATTTATACATCCCTACTTCATCAGGATATATTGTGAGGCTTAAGCTGACATCACAATATTTCTTTTCTTAGCAGGTCATGCCCTTGGGGGTGGTGCAGCTGTGAAGGGTCATCACCACTTAGTCCACTCTGTGCCAAGTATGAGTCGGTAGCCAAGCCAGGCCTCAGCTGGGCCACATCTGGAGAACTGGGGTGAGGGCACAACACCAAATAATTCTGGACTTAGCCCATTCATTCTTCTTGGGGGCGCCAAGAAAAAGAAACCTATGATCTTAGAACACAACACCTGCACCGAAGTCCAGCAGCACAGTTGCCTGCCCTCACCTCTCTCTGCCCCCTGCTTCTGGCTGCTCCCCATCTGCCTCCCCGCTAATGTCTATGCCTCATATTATCTCTCGGACACCTATGATGTCCCAGAGCGGACGTCCTGCAGGTGTGCCCGCAGATGGGAATATCTCTCCAAGTGTCATTCAAGTGATCGTGAAGACCCCGGGACACCAGAACAGCTTTACGGTAGCTGGTGACACCTCAGTGAGGCAATTCAAGGAGAAGCTGTCTGCTCACTTCAAATGCCAAATGGACCAACTGGTCCTGGTTTTCATGGGCCGCCTTCTCAAAGACCATGACATACTGAGTCAGAGGGGCATCAAAGATGGCCAAACCATTCACGTGGTCATCAAGTCCAAGAATGGCTCCAGATCCCTGACTCATTCTTTCCGGAACCTGATAACGAACAATCCCTGCCATCAAGACAGAAGCACCAAAGGAAATAGCAGTGGGGTGTGCCAGTCTGCAGGCATGGGTCAAACCAAAGAAGAATCATCCCTTCTCATGGAGTCTGATGCACCCAAGGTGGGTACTCAAGGCCCAGAATTGGACAGTCCAGAGCATATTGCACAGATGTTGAAGGATCTTTGTGTTCAGAGGGTGTTGTCCAATATGGATATCATGCACCAGCTTATCTCAGAACATCCAGATATGCAAGAACTGTTGCAGCAGAACCCAGAAATCTCCCATATCCTCGACAATTCTGAAATTCTATGCCACATTCTGGAGTTGGCCAGGCACCTTGCCGTTATCCAAGAGATAATGCAGATCAATCAGCCAGCACAGAACCTTGAGCATCTACAGAACCCACAGCCGTACCTGGGCTTAGAGACAATTCCAAATGGGAACAATGCCCTGGGCCAGAGCTATGATTTCAATGACCAAATGCTCAATGGGATGCAAGATTTTTTATGGGGCAACTCTTTTACAGCCCTTCTGGCTGGTCAAGTACTAGAGCAAGTCCAGACTCCTTCCCAATCTCTTTCACCATTCTCTGAGGAACAATGGCCCCGCCCCCCTGCCCAAGTCATTTATGCTAATTCTTGTGGATTATCATCAATCACCCCAACAAATGTTACTCTAAGCAATGCCAATCATGCTTCCAAAGAAAATCCAGCCTCAGTCACCACTGAGGGCCAAAGCCATGTCTGTGCTATTCAGCAGCCAGCTGGGATCCCAACCTTACCCAGCACAGCCGTCACCCAGGAGCTTCAGGAAGATGATAAGGGTATGGCCATCCCTGTGGGTACTTCTGACCAGGGGTTAGAGGGAGATCTCCAGCAGTCAGGTGAGCAGACCAGCTCTCAGCTCACAGGAGGAATGATCCAATTGCTTAGGAACTATCCATACATGGCTGCTCAGATGCTGCTGCTCATGAATATGCCCCAGCAGAGTGAACAGTGGAAACAACAATCTCCCACATCCTTGCAGTCATCACAGCTTTCGGACTTGCTTTTAGCCCTAGCCAACCCTAAAACATCACAAGCAATACTACAGATCGAGCATGGTCTACAGTTATTGGCTA